CCGTGCAATACACGAGCTATGTTATTTTTAAGATAATGTTAACGTATCAAAATATTGCGTTGCATTTTTCATATTGATACACTTAAGTGTCCGAAAAAATTTGTAAGCAATTCAAACCTTCAAAGAAAGTTGAGATAGTTGATTTCATAAAAATGTTGTTCAAAAATGAAGAAATTGGCACCGTGGTCTCGATAATGAAATTTAAATAATCCTGCATGATGCATAGAGATCCACAGTGACATAGGCCATCCCCTCACAATTAAAGCCTATTACTATTTGCTTTTCAGGCGAAGGCTCCAGATATTCAGCAGGACGTCGACATGCACTGATTGGAATAGAGACAGTTGTTCTTCATTGTTGCATTTTTTTTTTTTTTTTTTTTACGTACGGGAATCCTGTAAACTAACGAAGGAAGTGCGAGGTAGAAGAGCCTTCCAAACAATCTTTTTGAACTATTTTTTGGTGCTTCACGCTCAGATATTGTTTTATTCAATGTCAAAAATCCCTCCTCAGCATCATTAAAGTCACATAAACATTTAATCTACATGAGCCACAACAATCAGCATATTTACATCATCTGTCAAAAGTTAAAAAATATGAAATTATAAGTTGAGGTCATGTACTAACCAATTGAAGAAATAACACACGTTATAGACAGAATGATGATGCTCTGTAGAGTTTAGATACACATATGTACACACACATGACATGGTGAAGTACAATTTTAGCTAATTGAGGCACTCGATTGCTAGTTTCAACAACGTTGTACAAAATACAAAAACGTACATCAATATCCTACTATTTTTTGCCACATGCACCTAACAGAGCAAACCCATATTATTGTACCAACGAAGCTGATATGTAGTAGTGTCAAAAAACTTCTGTTGGTCCTAATGATAAAAGACGATAACGAAAAAAAAAAAAAAAAAAAAAAAAAAAAAAAAAAGACGTGACATTAAAAAACAGGAGGAAGCATGGTGAAGTGATCACAATCATCCAACTGCACAAGTATTAACAAGAGCTTCTTGTAAGCATAGATAGTAAAATAATCTTTCAAAAAGTCACTGATACAAAATGAATAAACAAGATAATAGAAAGAGCAACTGAAGATACAAGTTACAACACTATGGAGGATATAATGAATATGTGTAAATTGTAAATATAATACTCACATAGTTCTCTTGAAAGCAATTGAGGTGCATTAGTTTAAGAAAGCTAGGCCCGTAAAGCTCTTTCAACCAACCAGAGAATAAGCACATGTGCCCCTAATAAGCATAATGGGAAAATGTCAGTATTTGCTCCCTGCATGATGAACATGTAAAGTCTTTAGATATATCAGAATTGATATGCTAAAATGATGGTAAGAGGAAAAAAAAATACTTCTATAGTGCGAATGATTTGTCACTGAAACATCATGACCTAAATTATGGAGAAAACATTTAATAGACAAAAATTGTACACACTTACATGTGAAAGAAGCAACTTTACAGTTTGGTCAAGGCCTCTTTTTGTATCATGATGCAAAGGAAGCCCATTATGGTAGCTTTTCAAAAAGGAGGAAAAAATAAAAGATAACTTATGAAGCAGGTTATAGCAGAAATGAAGAACATTTAGCGAACATTGATTAGGAAAATGCTTAAACTGATGATTAGATTTAACACATACGAAATGAGAGGGGATACAGCAAAAATTTGAATGTCTCAAGAAAGAAACGCTCTTAATAATCAAGAATTTTACTCAGAGGAGCAATCTAAAAAGAATTGGCTATATAAGGCATAGCGATGAATTCTATCTCTATAGTCTAATGAGTAAGAAGATTTTAGATAATAATAAGAAAATATTTTAATAGAATTCTCGTGTGAAGACAAGTATAATTAGGAAACAACAATAATAGAAAATTTTACCAAAATAATAAATCACAGTTGGCAAAACTGGTTGCCTATTTAAAATTAAAATAGAAAGATGCAGATTTATTTGCTGAGGATGTGCATCAACATATATAAAGTAAAAAAGAGCATATGAAACTAAGTTTGCAAATTGAAGTGATCGAAAGACCTAGTATTTTTTACCTAAGGCTCGTAGAGCTTTTAGTACGCAAAGGTTCATTATTCACTTCTGTTCAGTTTTATTTAATCACAAGAAATCATAAATAATCACAATGGTATCTCTACACCATTCGAAAAATTTTATTACAAGAAATCATAAATAATTATTCAGTTTTATTTGCAATTGTTCATTAGTCAATGGCAATTAGCACCATGCCGCTGCTTTAATAGCCAGAGCAGAAGGACCACAAGGTATCGTAAAACACTTCTCCTAGAATATTAGAATGCAAAGGGAAAAGGTCAGTACAACATCTTTTTTCTTCCATAAAAGGAAAATTTATTGAAATGGAGATTCTAAAGTAAAAGATACAGCTGATATGTATAAATCAAAACAACAAACCATTTTGCAAAACATGCCCTTGCATAGTATTGAGCAGATCTAGAAGCCAATCTATCTAGCCCTTAGCACCAAGATTCATTTTTGGACCCTGGTGATGAAACTAAACCGTGTAAATAATAATAATAATAAATAAACTAAGATATGATATGGAACATATTTTTCAAAAGAAATTCAAACAATCCAAATCGTGCATGAACACAATTAACCCAAAACTGAACGCTTTAGTTTGACTTGGTGATGAACAAAAAATGACAGAAGAAAGTATTCACAAAAAGTTGGCAACTTTATAAAATGATACAATTGAATCTGAAATATAACTCTTTGAACTAATGAACAACATATTTGATGACAAATCAACAAAGTCAAACCATAACATTAAATTCAATAAATGAAAAGGTAGATAAATATATAGGTGCATATAACACATGCATCTATGAAACAATATGTATTTGCTCCCCTTAAACGCTACTGGCTATTTCAGCTGTAGGCCATCAAATTGAGATGATAATAGTACATAGGCAAAGTAAAACTTTAAAAGCTGGCCCAAATTATTTTGTTTAGAAATAAGAAGATATTAGTTTGATGACAATGTATAAATATTACAAGCAAGTGTAAGTTGAATGTTGCAGGATGCACCTCGAAATACAATAACATATATAAGGAAAGTGTATTATCCAAAGACTCAAAATTATTCCAAATATCCCAATAGTAATTATAATACATGAATAAGAATAATTTGATATTTTAAGCAAAGAAATGAAAAATACTTCGTGAAACGAATATCTTATTCCACAATAAAACATTTCCAGTGTCATGCACCAAGAAATGATAAGAAAGAAGAATGGTAATAATTTTAGCATACTATAAAGTAATAAACACACTTCTACGCGGTCAATAGGACTTGTCTGTTGTAACAAACATCGTTAACTAGACTTTCTAGTATTTAACCTAAGTGAATGGAAGAAATTCATGAAATACAAAAAATACAAGTTTGCAAAATCAATCGGTGTGATGAAAACTTAAAGTTACAGTTGATATGAACATATATATTACAATAAAAGGTTATAAGAAAATATGAAAAATTGTTTAACAAAACAGGAAAATCATTTGTAGCAAAAACAAATATACCTAGTCTGAATGCTAAACATTAGATAAATCCAAATAAACATAAGGAAATCAGGAAAAAAAAAAAAGTGGGGAATTGATACAAACCTTTGATAAAGCCAAGATTTAGAAGGCCGTTGAAGTAAGACAAGAATTGTATGAAGTTCCACAAAGAAACCTAAAACGCATGTGGGGGTCAATGTCTTATTTTTCAGATCTTTCTGACATATTTATGAACGGAAAAATTTCTTTGTAGACAACATTTTTGGTACATGTTTTGTGAAAATTTTCTGCTTTTAATGGTTTAAGTAGAACTTTGATAGATGTGCTTGTTTTTGTCCTTGATAATGCTACATAAAGTTGATCATGACAGAAAATTGTCTCTGGAAGATACAAACCCACAAAATTAAGCGTTTGACCCTGTGCTTTGTTTATCGTCATTGCGAAGCACAGTCTGATTGGAAATTGAGTTCTTTTGAATTGAATTGAGTTTTGATCATTTTTTAGAGGTATAGAAGGGTTCTTGACAAGAAAACATATTTTCCACAAGACTCGTCAGTTGTGATTTTAGCAAGAATTACGTTCTTTTGAAACTTTCGACAAGTTAAGCGTGTCCCATTGTACAATCCTTCAGAAGGATTGATATTTCGCAATAACATGACACGACAATTTATCTTAAGTTCCAATTTATGTGGTGGAATACCATTTGGGGTTAGACTATTCAAAAAAATCTTCTTGCAAGTTTTGTTTTGATTTATCAATTGCTTCATTGAAACTGTAATATGCGAACATTTCACTTGGAATCTGTTCGAGCAAAATTTGGTTAATATGATCAACACCTTCATTTGAGGCGTAAGAATAACTTGATTTACCATCGCATAGAGATTATCAACATATGCTTCTATATCTGGAAAAACATGATGTATCAAATTTTTTAAAGATGTAATTTCATCTTCAAATGGCAAAACTATATTGTTTGGAAGTTTAATGCATTTACAACTATGTTCTTTCTCCGTTTCATCTCCAATTCTTATCAAGTAATCAAAAAATGTGGGATCCAACTTCGCCATCATATTCTCGATCAATGGTAGATGCAAATACGAAGGCCATAAGTTTGAGAAAATTAAGCTAACTTTCATTATGTCGGCACCTCTGGTAGAACTTGACGAAAATTTCCTCCAAGAACAACTACTTTTCCACCAAAAAGCAAGTTATAATCTGTAATATCCCTAAACATCTTATCTACAGCTTCAACAGCAAAACGATTTACCATCGGTGTTTCATCCCAAATGATCAACCTAGACATTTTCAACAAACTTCTTAAAGTTGATTGCCTGCTAACAGAACATTTTATTTCACCAACTGTTTTTAAAGGAATTTTAAATCTTGAATGAGCCGTTCGACCTCCAGATAAAAGAGATGCAGATACTCCAAATGATGCAGTTGCCAAAACAATTAAATTTTGTGACCTTACACCAGTTAGGAGTGCTTTATATAAAAATGTTTTTCCTGTCCCACCTAGACCCTCGATGAAGAAAGCACCACTCGATTCAGATTTTACTTTTTCCATAATTATATCATATGCAAACTCTTGTTCTTTATTTAATATTGCAGCACAAGCAAGACCCCCTTCAATATCAAAATTAGTTGTCTCCTCTTCAACCATTCTTCTCAACCTTTCAGTTTCATATATATTTACATTGAATGGCACCATGACATAATCATTTATGTTCTTACCTAATGATTCCAAAATAGAACTAATGTCTTCTAAAGCCCGTAGTTCCACAATCTCCTTAGGTATATTTTGACGTACATAGTCGTCAAACATATAAACCTTAAACTTGTCCCACAAGAACTTTGGATGGTTAGGATTGCAAAGTGTAAGAAGTATAGCAAAGAGACGTTTTAAAAAAGTAGGCATTTCATAAACAATAACTTCAAATATACATTCTTCAAAATGATTGTCTCCGCTTAATAAATCATATAAAAGTGTTGCTTCTCGATATGTAGCAACAGTTACCCCATTTAAAGTTCGTAAATCACGAAATGATACTGATCCTCTAATATGATTAAGAAGAATGCGAAGGAAATATCGTTCTCCTTCAGAAGAATTAGCTATTACAATTCGTCCTATAACAATTTGCTTCTTTCTAGGAGTCCAAATTTTGTTATTTGCATTCCAAACAAAATATTTTGGGAAATCTCGATACAACAATGTATGAACAAGTTCATTTTCTTCATTCATTAGAAAGAATTCAGTTAACATAGTTCTTCTCGTATTTTCTTTTTCAATAATAGTTGATAAATCATCATGATCAATATATGTTATTTATTGATGATCCTCAATATGAAAGTGTAAAGAATAAACATATGGATAAATATCTGACAAATTGAAAGAAAAAATTCTCCACATAACCTCGGGTGGAGATATCCATCTAGCAGATTGATAAGCAAAAATTTCATCGATTTCCTCATTTGTTTCATTTGTGTCAACGAAGAAATTAATACGATCATATTCTTTGTACACATATTTATACAAATATTTTACAGTTTTGATAGAAGAACATACTTCAACATTGATGTGGCAGTCAAATTTCGCACTTAAATAAGGATCGTATGGTGCGACCCAACGATTGTTAAACATTTGACCCATAACTTTAATAGAAATTCCATTATTACGTTGCCTATACAATGGATATGAGTTATCGCAAAATATAGTAGTATTACAATAATCCCTCAGATATTTATTTTTACAACCATTATTTGTTTCCATACATACATTTTTAGGATTTAAATTTCCACAAGGACCATGCATATTATGTTTAAAAATAATTGAATGAAGATGGGGTGTTTTGGTTTGTTAGGAATTTCACAAGATACTATCTTATCAACTTCTTCAGAACAACAAATTTTGTAGCCGCATTTAAAAATCAACAATAGATGTGTATGAGGAAGCCCTCTTTTTTGAAATTCAAAGCAGCAACGGGGCCTAATACATTTTCCTTACATAAATCGTTTTTCAACTCTTCTAATTTTGCTCTAAATATACGCGTGATTAGATCTGGTCGATTCAGAACCTCTTCATTGTGTCTTAGTTCTCGCTTGATTTCTGGCCAATTTATATTACATGTTATAGTAAAAAATACTTCTGATTTTCCATAACGTTGTACAATAGCCATCGCATCCATGTATCTCCTTAGCAGATCTCTAGAGCCACATGTAAAAGATTGTGGTAAAACAAGCTTCCTTCTAATTTTGCACCCTCTTGTCTTTCCATTTTGAACACTATCTACAATGCCCTGATAAAGTTCAGCACAATTTTTTTTTTTTTTTGGTTGTTACGGAAATAATCTAATCTAGTAATTTCAATCTTAACATACATATCTACAATATATAGTTGAAATAGCCTACCAGTGTGAAGTAACATGAACGTACCAAAAAGTCCAATTTGTAATTTGTACGAATAGTATTCTCGGCAAGAAACCTGAGACCGTTTTTTGGTTCCATTGAGCACTGCATGATGTAACAAAGAATCAATTTCAGTATTCATTTGCGACATTTACATTACGGAAGGTGTAAAATTTACTAAAAGGTGCATTCACTAACTTGTATCCTCTTTTTCGAGAATTTCAGCTGCAGAATTAATTGTGCTAGGAAAAGCAATAGAGTCGGGCAAATGTTGAGGCTAAAAGTATGTGCTTCTACATCTCTCAATACCTTCATGCCAACCAGATTCACCATATAGAAAAATCAAAGGATATTGCAAAGGATTATAACAACAATAGTAATAGTGAAACCTGTGTGAATCACCATAATGACCATATATAGTAATATCACGAATGTGAACATTTGCATTTTCATCTTCTTCAACCCAAACAATAGCTACTTGAAATGTTGTAGGAGTATTGAAGACTCTTTGATCAACTCTTGGATCACATCTTATATGTATTCGATGATCATGTAAATTAGTCATATCACTTAAAGACCTAAAAAATCTACTATATGAATTTACTTTAAGAATTTCAATTAAGGTAATTAAAGTAGATTCAATGAAATTCTCTGAAATTTTCATACGATTTTGAAGCTCATTATTTGTATCATAAAAATATAATTGCATGTAAGAAAGCGTATTATTCTAAGGCATAAGTTGATTTATATAATGATATACTTGTCCCTGAACCCTAAATATGTAAATAGCTCTATATGTTTTCAAAAGTTCTCTATCTGCTTTACATCGAACGATGTGAACGCAAAATGATTTTTATATCCTCTTGCATTTTTTTTTGAATTCCATATACATAGGATCTTTAGAAGTAAACAAGTCGTACAATTCAATTGGTGATTCTGGCATAAAGAGCTTAACTTTTCCATCAGAACAACAAAAACCTTTATTTTCTCTATAAAATTTTCGTGCACCACAATGCTTACAGTCAATGCATGTTGGTAATACATATGCAGTACTTGATATATTCAATATCTTAGAACTTTCTTCTACTTCAGAATTGGAAATATAAGTTGTTCCTTTATTTGAAGTAGAAGCTTTACAATGATCATTTATAGTAGATTCATGCATTTGGACAGTACTTGAATTATTATTTCCACATAACATAGGGTCAGTAATCCTTTTGTGACGATCAATGCATCCAATTTTAACTTGATTTCGCCAATCCCTTTCTCTTTGATTATGTTGTTGGCGAATGAAGGCACGGTATGACTCGTTTGTACTTTCAGAAATAATTTGAGGGTTAATTAAATCAGGCTCTCCATCAGCACGTGTTTCGAAAATATCCATTAGAACACTAAGATAAATTGTTGGACAATTGGAATCCAACTTGAGCAACAGGATCTAAAAATACTGAAAAAAATACCACATGTTAAATTATATATAAGCTAAATGTAAACTTTACAAAATAAAAAAATGATCTAAACCATGACTAAAAATTTACTTTACAAGGCTTCTAAACGTTTATTATAAATGTGAAATGTAATTTTGGCTATCTTTATACGAATGAAGGCACGGTATGACTCGTTTGTACTTTCAGAAATAATTTGAGGGTTAATTAAATCAGGCTCTCCATCAGCACATGTTTCGAAAATATCCATTAGATCACTAAGATAAATTGTTGGACAATTGGAATCCAACTTGAGCAACAGGATCTAAAAATACTGAAAAAAATACCACATGTTAAATTATATATAAGCTAAATGTAAACTTTACAAAATAAAAAAATGATCTAAACCATGACTAAAAATTTACTTTACAAGGCTTCTAAACGTTTATTATAAATGTGAAATGTAATTTTGGCTATCTTTATAATACTATGAATAAGATAAGCAATTACGCTCATTACATGAGGAGGACCATTCTTATTGACTAGAAATAAAATCTTCGATGAAATTAAAAAAAAATAAAAAATCTAATCATTATAATCTATGAAGAAATAAGATTGAAATTTTTCAACGGCGTAATAAATCATAAAATGCAAAGAAAAATAAGAATGTCATAATTGACTTTTCAATGGACCTCTTATATTAGGCTCTCATAAATTGCACAGAATCTTAGGAAAATTTATTAGAGTCTGCAAGCCTATTTTTCATCGTACAAAGAAACCAACTAAATGGAGGATTCATACAGTGCACAAACAAAGCATAACAACTAATAACCTTATTAGAAATTTAAAAATACAACTTACTATAACAAGTGATCAAAATAAACCTACTACACAAACCTATGAAGAATCAATTATAAGAAAAAAAATTATTTAGAAAAAAGTTACCTAACAAAGACCGTACTATTGCAATCGCGAATTCCACGATTAAAAAAAATACAATTGTTTGAAAGAAAAAAATTTAAAAAATTTAAAAAGTTACACGACAAAGACTATACTGCTGCAGTTGTAAATTTCACCAACTAAAAATACAATCAAATATCATACACATAATTACTCAAAGTACAATGATTAGTTCAAACATATAGAAGATTAGAAGCTCAAATTAAGAATAATCTACAGCTAAAACGAATTATTCTGAAAACATAAATGACCCTCAACCAAAGCAAATATAGAATCTACCTACCTAAAAATAATATTCTTCAATTTCAATGTTAATCTTCTGCTATATTCTGTAACTTTCACAAAGCTACAAACAAAGACAGTAGGAAAAATTAAAAGTTGAAAGTAGACATTAACAAAATCGAACAAAAAATGCATAAGAAAAAATACAAAGGAACATACTCAAGATTACCAAATAACACCCAACATGCCATTATTGTTCGACAAAAAGCAAATCCATGTTTTCAAATCTCGTCATTATAATTCCTAGCCACACCAAATCTCTTTTGCAAAGAAACCTTAAACCAAACTCCATACCAATACTGTATCAACCTTAAAGTTTTTCACACTGTTTCAAGTGCTCATTCAACTTTTATATTTGAGTAATTTATTTAAACCATACACCATTTAAAAAATTATTCTTAATCATATAAGAAAGCCTTTGGTTAATTCAACTTTCATGTATTCTGATATTACTCAACATAGTGTAATTAGGAAAATTACATCTCTGATCCAACATACAACACTTCTTGAACCAAAAGCTCTTATTCACGAAGCTATAAGATCTTCACTTACCAAAGTCCAACAACCCACTCAAACCCAACCACCACCATCTCATCAATACAAATCAAAACACCTGGAAAGGTTGAGCCAGCGATCTGAAAAATGACGAGTCCTTATAATCATAAAAAATGTAGGTCCACTTCAACTACATTTCTCATTTTTCCTGTCCCTAACAAATACAAATCCCACTTTATTCTTCCTATTTTGCAATACAATTTACTAATACACAGCGTCATTTTTCCAAAATTGCTTCAATTACACTTATACAAACAGTTGACCTGATTCTTCATTCATCACCTTCGTATGCTTAACTGTGAATATAAGTCAAGCCCACAAATTATTCTGCAATAATTTGCTGCCAAATTAAGTACTTATGGTTGATTTTTGAGGTGCGTTTTAAAATTGTGAACGAGATTATGAGTGGGTTTAGGAATTTGGAGTGGATGTGGATAATCGGTAAATTGACTCACAGGTTTTTCTTCTTTAATCATATTATGTTCTATTGATAAATTATATTTCATAGTGCTTAAACACCCCTTGACGTCTATCTAGGCCCGAATTCAATTTTCGTGTCAAAGCCCTAAAACATATATCATATTTATAAAGCTTGCTTCAAGCTTCATCATTAAAAAGACGATAATCCATAAACTATGCTACATATTTATTTCTTTAATCATATTCTATTCTATTGATAAACTTTGTTTGATATTGTTTAAACATCCTTGACGCTGTTCGGGCCATATTCAGTTTTTTTCTATGAAAACCTAAAACATACATGATTTTCAAAAGTTGATAAAGAGACAACACATGAACTTAAAATACTTGTATGCTCTAATATTGCCCCTATTTTGTGTAAATAAAATCAAAAATTTAATTAATGTCAAATAGGGACATGTCTAAACAATTAAACGTCTTGTTTAGAAACTTAAAAAGTTCAAAAAAAGTGATATATTTTTTTAACATAAATATGGCATGAAATGAAAACCAACATAATTTTCTTCCATTATTGCCTTGAAAGTAGAGGAATTCTGCTGGCAAGTGGAATCCAATACAAAGAAGACAATTTTCTTTTGTTTAAATTCTTCTCCATTATCCTTATCTCTCATCGCTTCTACTCTTCAATTATATCTTCCATTAGTACTATCTCCATTTCATCTTCAGGAGGATTTACTTCTCTTTTTCTTCAAACCCATCTTTCCTAATTCAAGAAAAACACTTGTAAATCATAACCCATCTCGATCCAATAATTTCGTTTGCATTCCTTTTATCAACAAACTATAAAAATTGAAATCAACTTCAGACCCACCCCATTTGTGCCAATCTATAAAAACCCAAATCAATTAAAAAACAAATAAAATCAAACACTTGATTTGTCAGTGTCACACATGGAGAAACCCACAAAATTAAATTGATGAGAACTCATGCTCATATATAAACCATTCAAATCAATCGATGATCGAAAATCAGTTTCAAGAGTGGAAAAATTTGGAGGAGACTAAAGTTTTGAGATGGGCTAAGAGACACGATACCTGGTGGTGGTAGGCGACGAAGGTGCGACGAAAAGATGGCTGCCAAATTTTGCAATGAAATTATGAAACGAAAGTGTTGGAGAGAGGAAATGTATAAGGTCAATCTTCTTTCTGGGTCCTTTTATTTAATTTATATACTAGGAGATATTTCTGGGTCCTTTTGCTTTATTTATATATTAGGAGATATTTATGAAAGGCTAATTAGCACAAAACATCCCTATCTTTTCATGTTTTTGTGGAAAACGTTCTTATCTTTCATTTTTTGGCGGATTACACCCTTACCTTTACCTTTTTTTGCGCAAAACATCATTCTGTTAACTCTCCGTTAAAATGCTCCGTTAAATCAAAAAGGTAATTAGCACAAAAGGTCCCTACCTTTCAAAATTATTGTGCAAAACGTCCCTACCTTTTATTTTTTAGCATAATTAGCAGAAAAGGTCCATACCTTTCAATATTATTGTGCAAAACGTCCCTACCTTTCATTTTTAGCATTTTTACCCCTACATTTCACATTTCATTTCGCAAAAGGTCCTTTTCATCCATTTTTTCAATAAAATGACGATTTTACCCTCCTATTGAAATAAAACAAAAAGAAAAGAAAAAAATAATTAATTAATTGCAATCATAATCTAAATCTTTCAAAATATTACAGATAAATCCTAAATTCTCCACTACCACCACTTTCACAACCCCACCAAGCCACCACCTATAAATCCATATAGCACCACTTTTCGACCACAACACTTATCGGACTCCACCACCACCAGCATCGCCTCACTCTCCCCAATATCCTCCTCCATAGTATTGGTCATCAATCTATCCGAAACAACCACATTTACGATGGTGGAGTCCGGTGAACATGGTGGCCGAAAGGTGGTATTATGTGGATTTGTAGTTGACAGCTTGATAGGTTATGAAAATGGTAGTGGTTGAGAATTTATGATTTTTTTGTAATTTTTTAAAAATTTAAGGACTATGGTTGCAGTTGATAATTCATCTTTTCTTTTTGTTTTATTTGAATAGGAGAGTAAAATCGTCATTTTATTGAAAAAATGGATGAAAAGGACCTTTTGCGCAATGAAATGTGAAATGTAGGGGTAAAAATGCTAAAAATGAAAAGTAGGGACGTTTTGTACAATAATATTGAAAAGTAGGGACCTTTTCTGCTAATTATGCTAAAAAATAAAAGGTAGGGACGTTTTGCACAATAACTTTAAAAGGTAGGGACCTTTTGTGCTAATTACCTTTTTTATTTAACGGTGCATTTTAACGGAGAGTTAACAGAAGGACGTTTTGCTCAAAAAAAGGTAAAAGTAAGGGTGTAATCCGCCAAAAAATGAAAGGTAGGGACGTTTTCCACAAAAACATCGAAAGGTAGGGACGTTTTGTGCTAATTACCCTTTATGAAATAACCAGTTCTTGAACGGTAGTATCCAGTTACACTGTGAAATGGAGCACCGTAGAAATGAATAGTGCAGAAGTGCAATGATATATATACACACACACTAAAAGATTCTGATTGCATTTCGATTTATAGAATTCAATGATAGCATTGCACATCAATCGTAGGAATAAAATTTGTTTTCTTTTCCATTTCCTAATAGGTTGCTAAGCAATAATTTGTAATGTAATAATAATAGATGATGATGCAGAGTGTGTATCATATATGAAGATTACATTTCCAATTATCATTTTAAACAATTAATCAAATTTGTAGATTTATTGAAAGAAATGAATAGATATTTATGACACGTTAATATTTCTTAAAAAATGATATAACCCATGCATTGCATACTTGGAAGTTGGAAAACTAGTTTTCCTCCTTTACATTAAAAGAGATGATGGCTGCATCACTATTCACCTTGAGGCAAAGGTTTCACACTAATCTCATTTTGTACTGTAGGTGAACATGTTATGCACTATTCATGCAAAAAAAATCCTTGGAGAGAATGATGAAATTTGATTACATTAATTGTTGCTGCCTTTGTTAAATATTCATGCAAAATAAAAAATTCATGGGGACAATGATGAAATTTGATTGCATTAATTGTTGCTACTTTTGTTGACTTTATTCAACCATCTAATGACGGTTACTGTAGCTTAGTTTCAAAAATATCTTCTGACTTCGTTGAATGATATACCTTCCAGAAATGAAATAATATAAATGTGAAAAATTCTTTTGTATTATTACTTTCTCGTAAATCTTCTTCCAACAAAGCTAAGCCACTATTTCGCTCTCTCAAACGGAAGGACAAGAAATCTGCAAGTAAATTAAATAGTTGGAACGTAAAGTATCGTAACGAGCTTTCTTAGGTTAGTTGTTATTGTTGTTGTTTTTCCGTGTTACGATATTATGTATTATTTCTTCTTTTTCTTCGAAAAAAGGGGATTCTTTATGCCGTTTTTGATTTTTTATTTCATAATAGAAGTTCTCCAAGCTGTAACTTGTTTTTGGATGTTATATTTTTGGACAGTTGTTGCAGCAAAAACTAATCATTCTTGTAGAATCATTGGCGTTGTTGTGGAGGTAATTTTTGGGTAAGTTTTATTGCAAAATTTATTATTTTAATTGATTTTTTATAAGTTGTTGTATATATTTTACACTCTCTTCATTAAATGCTATTTAAATAATTTTTTACTTCATGGTTATGTATTCTTTGGGCACAAATGCTTCTCTGTGTTTTTTTTTTTTTTTGTCTTCTTAGTCACTTCTTTATAATCAGTTTGGGTTTCACACATGTAATAGGTTATTTTTTCTTAATTGTGTTTATTCAGTATACTAACAATTTATCTTAGTTTTCTGATGTCACTTTAACAATATTTTGGCACGTACTAATGAGGCCGATATGCATGTCCTGAAGAAGAAAAATTATGAAATATCTACGATTAATCACAATTTCCTCAAAATAAATAATAGAGATATAAATTAAAAGGTTATATATCAAATTCATTATACATTGTTTGAATTTTAATTATATAAATTTATTTATTTTGTTCGAAAGTATTGGAAAGATTATTATATAATTTTGTTCTTGTATGTCGACACATAAATTTTTTTTATTCATTTATGTAATTGACTTTACTTATTTTTATAGTTATTTTTTTATATTATTTTTTATATTATTTTTCTCCATTGTTGAAAGCTTTTCCACATATGCTTCATTATCATTAATATTTAAATCTTTATGTAATTGATGTTATATAATTATTATATTGTTAGAAAATTTGAACAGTTTAATGTCTCTAAGAGTTTATTGTAACTAATTAATTTAGCTAATTAATTTAGTCATCGTTTGTGAATGGTTTAATACATTTGCTAATAATGTTCTTCAATTTTTTTACAACATGCTCTTTCCATTGCAGTTGAAATCTACAACAATTATTTTGCTATTATAATGAATATTTTGGAAACGTTTGTTGATGAAGACCGTGTTATTGTTAACTTTGACATTGCGTCCGAAAGTGGAAATGAGTCACATAGAGCGTTTATTCGTCAACAACAAGTTCAAAAAGAGAAAGAGAGTCGAAAAAAACTTAGAAATAATTGAAGTGATTATCATAAAAGGAGAAGTGATCATAGGTTATATGAAAAGAATGATTTTATCGATCGCCACTTAGATGAATCTATAATGCATTAACATCCTTAAGCTTCAACTTTAGATCAAGAAATGCACAATATTGTCAGTTTTGAATTAGGAGAAACTTTCAAATGATTGAACATACAATCTACTACATACGTATTACCAACATTCAGCTACTGTAAACATTGTAATGCACGCAAATCTTATAGAGAAAGTAAGGGTTTTTGTTGTTCTGATGGAAAAGTTAAACTCTTTATATGTGACTCACCGGTTGAATTATATAATTTATTTACTTCTAAAGAACTACATTGTACGAAATTTAAAAAAATTGTAAGGGGATATAATAATCATTTTGCTTTCACTTTATTTAGTGTGAAGTACGATAAGGAACTTTTTACAACATATAAAGGTATTTATACATTTAGAGTTCTAGAACAAGTACATCATTATGTTAGTGACCTTATGCCGAAAAATAATACACCTTCTTATATGCAATTATATTTTTACGATATAGAAAATGAAGTTCAAAATCGTATAAACATTTCATCAAACTTTGTTGAATCTACTTTAATTGCTTTAATTGAAATCTTAAAAACAAATCCATAAAGTAATTTTTTTAGTTCGTTAAGTGATGTCACTAACTTGCATGATCATCAAATACAAATACGATGCGATCCAGGACTTGATCAAAGAGTTTTCAATACTCCTACAATATCTCAAGTAGCTGCTATATGGGTCGAAGATAATGAAAATACTAATGTTCGTACTCGTGACATTTCTATATACGGCCATTCTGACGATTCACACAAAGTTCATTACTATTATGGATGTTATGATCCATTGCAATATCCATTACTGTTTCCGTATGTGGAATCTGGTTGACATGAAGGCATTGAGAGATGCAGAAATATATATTTTCAGCCTCAACATATGTTGACATCTGATGTTATTCTTAACACAGCTACTTCTACAACTGAAATTATCGAAAAAGAGAATGAAGGTTTGCAAATATATCTTCTATTACAGTTCTCTATATTTTTTTAGTATCTTATCTTATCAATAAATGTTGAATTTGGTTTGTATTTGGGCTCTGTAGTGCTCAGTGAAGTGAAGAAATGTACTCAGGTATTTTGTTGAGAATACTGTTCATATAAATTACAAATTAGGCCTTCTGGTAAGTCTGTGTTACTTCACACTGGTAGATTATTTCAACAATATGTTGTAGATATGTAGTTAAGATTGAAACTGCCAGGTTAGACTATTTTCGTAATAATTAGAAACAAATTCATGTTTAACTTTACCAAGGTATTGTAAATAGTGTAAAAAATGGGGAAACTAGAGGATGTAAAGATGGAAGAAAATTTGTTTTACCACAATCTTTTACATGTGGGCCTCGTGATATGTTAAGAAGATATATGGATAGAATGGCCATTGTACAACGTTATGAAAAATCGGATATATTTTTAACTATAACATGTAATCCAAATTGGCCAGAGATTAAGCAAGAACTAAAGAATAATGACGAAATTCAAAATCGACCTGATTTAATTGTACGTATATTTAGAGGAAAATTAGAAGAATTAAAACATGATTTATATAAAGCAAGTATTTTAGGGCCTGTTATTGCACATATATATGTGATTGAATTTCAAAAAAGATGACTTCCTCATGCTCATATGTTGTTAATATTTAACTCTAGAAATAAAATCACTTGTGCTGAAGAAGTTGATAGAATTGTGTCATGTGAAATTCCAGACAAAACGAAATACTCTCATCTTCATTCTATTATTGTTAGACACAATATGCATGGTCCTTGTGGAAACTTGAATTTGAAAAATACATGCATGGAGGGAAATAAAGGTTGTAAAAATAAATACCCTAGAGATTTTTGTAATATTACTGTATTTAGTCAGGATTCATATCCGTTGTATAAGCGCCGTGATACTAATATTTCTGTTCGAGTTAGAGGCAAAATGTTAGACAATCGATGGCTTGTACCATACAATCATTATTTAAGTGCAAAATTTGATTGTCATGTTAATGTCGAAGTATGTTCTTCTATCAAAACTGTCAAATATTTGTACAAGTATGTTTACAAAGGACATGATCGTATCAATTTTTTAGTTCACACAAATGAAATAGAGAAAGAAATAGATGAAATTTTTGCTTATCAATCTGATAGATGGATATTTCTACCAGAAACTATGTGGAGGATTTTCTCGTTCAATCTATCAGAAATTTGTCCGACAATCTATTCTTTACAGCTTCATATCGAAAATCATCAGCAAGTAATGTATGACAATGAAGATAATTTATAAACTGTTGTTCAAAATGAAAATACAAGAAAAACAATGCTAGCAGAATTCTTTCGAATGAATGAAGAAAATGAGTTCGCGTGTACACTTTTGTACCGAGATTTTCCAACACATTTCGTTTGGAATACGAACAAGAAAGTTTGGACTCGCAGAAAGAAACAGGTTGTTATAGGACGAATTGTTACAGTAAATCTATTTGAAAGAGAACGATATTATCTTCGTGTTCTTATGAATCATATTCGAGGTCCAACATCATTTTAAGATTTACGAACTTCAAATGGGATTACTGTTGTCACGTATTGAGAAGCAGCACTTCTACATGGTTTATTGAGTGGATATAACTATTGTGAAGAATGTCTATCCGAAGCTATTATTTATGAAATGCTTATTTGTTTAAGACGTCTTTTTGCTACTCTTCCTGTGCTCTGCAACCCTAATGATCCAAAGTTATTGTGGAAATAAATTCAAATCTTATATAATTGATGATTATGTACATAGAAATATAGCTTCACATGTTGCTAAACTACGAGCTCTAGAGGATATTAATTGTATTTTAGAATCCATAGGCAAAAATATAAACTACTATAAAATTGTATCATTCAATGTAGATATAAATGAGAATGAAAGATTAAAAAGAATGGTTGAAGATGAAACAACAAATTTGAATCTCGAAGGAGGCAACGTTTGTGCATCAAGCTTAAATGACAAACAACAATTTGCATAAGATACAATTATGAAAAAAATAACATCGGGATTAAGTGCTACCTTTTTCATTGATGGTCCAGGCGGCACAGGTAAAACCTTTTCATATAAAGCATTACTAACTGTTGTAAGGTCTCAAAATTCTATTTCTTTGGCAATTGCATCTTCTGGGGTATCAGCATCTCTTTTACCTAGAGGTCGAACTGCTCATTCAAGGTTTAAAATTCCTTTAGAAATAATTGGTGAAGTAAGGTTTTCAGTTAGTATGCAACCAGTTTTAGGAATTTTGTTGAAAATGTGTAAGTTAATAATTTGGTATGAAGCACATATGGTAAATCGATGTATTGTTGAAGCTGTAGATAAAATGCTAAGAGATATTAATGATTGCGACTTGCCTTTCGGTGGTAAAGTTATAGTTCTTGGAGGGGATTTTCGACAAATTCTACCAGTAGTACCAAGAGGAAAAAAAGAAGATATAATGAAAGTTGGCTTAGTTTTCTCTTACCTATGGCCCACATTCATACATCTGCCATTAGTTAAAAATATGAGGGCAAAGTTTGATCCTACTTTCTATGATTACTTGTTAAAAATTGGAAACGACAGAGCAACATCATACTTGTAATTGCATTCAGCTTCCAAATGATATTATCGTACCATTCGAAGACAAAATAAAATCTTTAAAAACTTTGATCCATCACTTTTTCCAAATATAGAAGCATATGCTGATAAGTTGCATATGATGGCAAATCGAGTTATTCTTATGTCTAGAAATGAATGTATTGATCATATTAACAAAATTTTATTGGAACAGATTCCTGGTCAAATTTTTATGTACTATAGCTTTGATGAAACAATCGATAAATCAGAACAGAGTTTTGAAGAAGATTTCTTGAATAGTTTGACTTCAAATGGTATTCCGCCATATGAATTGAACCTTAAAATAAACTGTCATGTCATGTTATTGCGAAATATCAATCCTTCCGAAGGTTTATGCAATGGAACACGACTTACTTGTAGAAATTTTGAGAAAAACGTAATTCTTGCTGAAATTAAATCTGGTGAATATTGTGGAAAGTATTTTTTTTTTTACCAAGAATCCCTTTTATTCCACTTCAAAGTGATCAGACTTCAATTCCATTTAAAAGAACTCAATTTTTTATTAGGCCATGCTTCGCAATGACGATAAACAAAGCTCAAGGACAAACACTTGATTTCGTTGGTTTATATCTTCCGAAGCCAGTTTTTTTGTCATGGTCAATTGTATGTAACATTGTCAAGAGCTAAAACAAGCAAATCTTTAAAGGTTCTGCTTAACTTATCAATTGCTCCAACTTCACACATCACATGTACTAAAAACGTAGTGTATAAGAAAATTCTTTCATTCATAAATCAATAAAAGATATCATTGAAGTAATGTAAGTATCTTATACTTTTAATAATACTTATACACTTAATTCTTAATACTGCTCTAAAGGTTATAATCGATATTTTTTTCTACATTTTCTATGAAGCTATTACTACTGATACACAAATTCGTTGAGCACAAGGACAAAGAAAGCTTCAATGGAGTACAAGCTTCTGTATAGTACTATATATACGTTCAAAGAAAGTGACCTTATAATTTCGAGCACTTCTATTTGTACATCGTAAGAAAAAATATGTTTTTATTTTGTTTTTCTTATACTTGTTTTCTACTGTAAGACTTAAGAATATTAAAAATTTCATTGTAGGAAATGAATGAATATAACAATGCAAAACATACCAAAACAAATAAATGATAGTTTCGATCAAGGTATGTGTATGTATTAACTACGATAAAATGTATACTACTTCTGTACGGTTACACTAAAATTAGCTATTACAACATACTTGAAATCTAATGTATAGGTGCAGTTGTCTAACTCACTATCCTTTGTATTTTTATATTGTAAGTGATCAAGCTAAATAAGCAAGGCCATTCAACTAATTGGAGAAATTGTATGTGCACTTCTTTCGAACAAAACTAATGTAAATAGTCTTGCTTGTTTCCTACTAATTATATATTCTTTAACTACTTTCTGTAATCCTTTTTAAATGAATAATTTGGATTTATGGGTAAAGTTTTTATTTCATTAAATTGTGGTATGCATTAAGCTACTTATATGTTTCACAACTGAAGCAGACAAGTAATTAATAGACTTTTAATTTATAGGTGAATTTCCCTCTTTTTCCTTTTCAGATTCAGATTTGCTTTTGTATGCTAAATTGTAATATTTCATTTGGTTTCAATTGTAAATAGTTCCATCTTAACATTATATCAACGACTCCTGTCCTCTTGAAGATGAAAAAGGTAGGTACTAATATAATTATGTAATTTTGAAATCTTTAATTATTTAATCGTTTCCCATTCAATTTCGATATCTTATAGCTGAAAACACTTTTTACTTTTATTTTTATAATAGTCATAAAAATTTATTAGAATAATTAACTTAAGATTACTAAAATAAATATATCAAAGACTTATATAGACCACCTAGATCAAAAATAAGTAAAGTATCCTCCTTCTTCCTTTTGTATTTTTATTTTATACATTTCATTTAGACTAATAATCTGTTTTAGGAACAGTACATGTGGCATACAACTCTCATTAGAAGTTTTGAGTTTGCTACTGAAGCTAAATGATAGTCGAATGTTCTGTAAAAAAATCATGTAAGTAGCTCTTTTCTTTCTTTTTTGGCATTTTAGAATTTTAGAAATTATAGTCATGTCATTAGTGACTTGATGGTTACTAAAATGTAAATGAGCTTTTAGTTGGTGTTTTTCAGTCCTATATGACATGGTATTCAATACTTTTTAATACACTAATCTTTTACTAAAAGATTTTTGGTACTGTTTAATTTGAAACGAATCATTTGTGGACATATTTCTATATTATTATTTCGTGGAGGCACACGATCTTTAAACACAGTACAGGCCTGAGCCTGAAGTTGGGAGAAAATTTTAAAACGGAGTATTTTATCTAACGAGGACATGTTAATAGTAATATCAATTTTGTAACAGTTATAAGTGTTGTAGAGCATCTATTCAATAATTAGGTTATAGATAATTTCTAAAATTTCATTATTAGAGTTGTTTGGTTATAAGTTTTTCTCCATTGTCTTGCAGGTAAATCTTCAAAAAATGGTGCATAAAGTATCTCTATTTTAACGCAGGATATGTTATTATATCGGAATTTTTTGCAAAGAAAATTCTCATTTGATTTCAACGAGCTAAGTACAATCAATTTGATGAGCTATTTTCACCAGTACAAAATATTGTATTAAACCTTCAAAACAAAATTCTTTTTTATGGGAAAGAAATGATAGATACATGACATGGGATTTTTGAAATTTGTATGTGGATCGTGAGGCTGTCTTTCAATATGTGAAATCTAAATAATTAATTGGAATAAAAATACCCCATTCTATCAATATGAGAATGTAATCATCTTACGAAACAGAAAATCGCTTGAATTTTCACAACCCCATGCTCATGCGAGGAGGAAAAAAAATGAATTTTTACATGCTGCTAAAATTTAAAATTCATAACATGTAAAATATTAGTTTTTTGTTATTTCTTTTCCGACAATTGAAAGAAATTTGTATTCTCATTGTTCTTTTTCGTTATATAATTATCTTATAAAATTTCTATCATTTTGTAAATACGCAGTATTTGTTTACCAAAAATCTTTATTATAAATATAGTTCAGAGATAGTTTATTTCACCGTTGACTAAATAGTAGTAACTGGATAACTTAATTAAGTAGTCAAAAGTAAAGTTCTAATGTTTAAGAATGATAATAATTATATTTTTACATATCCATTTACATAAAAATTTAAATTGCACTTTTCAAATGACATAAATAAAATTTTCAAACACTTCATACATTCAATTATATTTAATTACAATTTACAAATATTGATATTTAAAAATTTTATATTAATCAAATATAAAATATAAATAACTAAGAACAAAACAACTATCGTTCCTGTGTAAAAAAATTAACTAAGTTGACAATATTTTTATTTCATTAATATAATTCTTAATTTAAAAATTAGATATATTTTAATAGCGGAGTACACATTTAGGCTCCATTCATTTCCTATTTATGTAAAACTGAGAATGAAAAATATAGTTACTATGAACCCTACACAAAAAATAAAAATTTAAAAATATAGTCGCTTGATGTATTATTTTAATAAGAAAAGAATGAAAAACAAAAAAAGCTTAATTGCAAATATTTTGTATTAAATGAATATACAAGTACAATTATAACTTCCCTCCTCTATTAAACGATGAATAGACAAATATAATTATAATTCATCTTCTATTAAATGATGAATAGACAAGTATGATCATAACTTACGTGAGTATCATAACTTATCTGAACTTATCTTCCTAGCATGGATATTTTTCAAATTGCACGTAGCCACAATTATTTTTAAGTTTATCCTTCTAACAATATAATTAACCTTATATAATTACACACTCACATTACTACTTTTACTTTTATTTATATGTCTTCTGTGCCCAAAGTGTATATTAAAAAATTCAAAATATCCCTAAAATATCTTTCTATCTTGAAGTTCTGGATATTCTATAAATACCATATATACTTGAAGTTCATGTATGCATTTCATTTCTATATCTATCAACTCTTTAAAAGATATTTTTCCTGTTTATCACTGGTATTTTGTCCATTTCCCGAAAAAAAATTGTTTCTTCGTTTTGGTAGCTATATTTAGCCTAACTTCTTGTTCTTCTTCTTGCTATTAACAGATATCAAAGATGGCTGGACCGTATAAATTTATTCGACAGATTGCAATTTTAGAGGTTAATTGGTCTGCAAAAATGGTCATTATAGGGAAGCAATCACCTAAGACTACTCATAATTCGACTACTAGATATCAGAATATTGTCTTCATGGATTTAGAGGTACATAAATAGTAATATTTTTCATCATTTCAAACTTTTATTATGCCTTTATATTTTATAAACACTTCCAACTTCACTGATGTTAAATTGGGTAATCAAGTTACAGCAACACTGTACGACACAAATATTACTGCACTTAATGACCAGTTGAAACTGGGAAAGACGTATATCGTCTCCAATGCAACAGTGAAAGATAACAAAAATTAGTTTAAAAACTCAGCTGATGAAAAAATCTGGACGATCACAGGAAGAACAAAAATTGAAGAATTACACGAGATTAACTTGAATTTTATCTTCTCACGGTATCAACTTACTCCATTTGATAAATTAGAACAACACATGGATACAAATATCAACATTAGTAAGATTTGTACTGCATGGATTAATTATCACGAATTCTACAACCTTCTACATTTTTCTTATGACTCTGTTAAAATTAAATATATACGACATACATAAAATAATTATTTTTTTGTAGATGTTATAAGTGTAGCTGTGGACATTAGACAGAAACGAATTATCCAAACTCATTTTGGTACACAAGCTACTCTCCAGGATGTTATATTGATGGACAAACAGTGCCAGACCGTGATGTTAACCCTATGGGATAGTTTTGTTGAATGAGAATGTATTACAATTCTTGAAAATCTTTCGAAAAGACCCGTCATATGGGTTACTAATCTGAATGTGTCTTCATTCAATGGTATGTACGTATTAATTTAAAACATTTACATAATTACAATTATACATGAAATTATTATTTTTTTTCGTTTTGCAGGCATTATCCTTTCAACCAAAGTCAATAGCACCTTCTTTATCAATTCTGATCTATTAGCTATTGCAAACTATAGAAATTGGTACTCAAAATAATAACTATCTTTTCTTTAATAAATAAAAAAATTAATGAAGCAATTATTTTTATGACTATTTTTATATTTATTTCCTATAGGACGGAGGCTAACAAAGAAAAGCTTGACAACTTTATAGAAAATAAGTCATTTGTTGTTGTAAGTCGGCCGAAGTTATCACCTCCAACTGACGACAAATTCACACTAATTGCAGATTTACTTGGACTTTATCTCACGGTATTTTAATTTCATTCAGCATATGAGTAACATAAATACATTTTTTTTTTTCATATTTTGTATTAAAACATTACCAAACGCCATTGTCTCCTCTTACTATTTCAATCTAATTATAAAATTATTTCCTTTTTCTTTTGGTAGAAAAAAATTTACTGGGTCAAAGCACATTGGAAAATCATTTCCAAAAATAAAAAATTTTGGTACATGGCCTGCAACAACTGCAAGAAAACATCTAATGTAGATTTCAGAGAAGTTTATAAATGTTGATTCTACAAATGCGAACATGCAAAAGCTATTCTAAGGTAGTTTATAATATTAAAGATATTAAATTTTTACGTGATATTAGTGCTTTATTGAAAAGCTACATAATAGATGTTGAGCTTTACAAAAAATTCGTTTGCAAAGTAAATGCTTTCGTTCACCTCGAAGATAAATCTAGATAGTTGGATGTAAGTATTATCGGGAATGTGACAGAAACATTATTAGAAACTACTGCTAATGATATAATAAACCATTTCGAAAAGGTAAAACTAAAATTCTAGCATTGTTTCAAATTATTTGCTTCAGTACTTTAACATTTAGTATTCTAAAAGATTAATTCTATTACAAGAACCACATGCAGAAATGGACAGTATAATGAAAATGGAAAGTCAAAATGAAGCACAATTTTATCTGAAGGTCACACAGAAACGCTAAAACTCTCCAGAATACCACTTTGAAATCATCTTTGCATTGAACTCTTTAACAACAACGACTGCGAACGCCCATTTTGCTACAACAAATGAAACAAATGTTTCAACTATCACAGCAGATGAAAGCAATCCAGCTGAACTGCAAGAAAGTTTAGACAAGAAAAACACAAAAGGCAAAGAGAAGACATATACTGCTGAAGTCTCCCTAACTACAACAAATGTAAAAATGTCTCTTTTTCAAATAACAGACGAAGTTATTCAACCAATTTCAGAAGCGAAAAAGAAGTTTCTTCACAAAACCTATAAAACGAACGACGAACCAACTCCAGAAACTTGAAAATCACTGTATTACTTTTTGTACTTTTTTATCGGTTGACAGTAATAGTGTAAACAAAATCAACGTCGTCTGCTTTTGGAGTGCAATACTAAATAATAGGTTCCCAGCAAAAATACTGTCAACTAAAAATAGTTTGCTATTTTGAAATGAAGAAGTAAGTTGCTTGCAAACTCTTTTTATTCAGTGTAAATATTGTAATTTACCATCTTGTGTTAATATATAACAATCTTTGTAGTTTTATTTTGTTAAACAGCACTTCAACAACTTATTAAATTTTGCAACTTCTTTGTGTTTGAAGACCACACAGATGCTTATCAGTTTTGTTTATCAATTTTTTATTCAATCACTAAATTTATAAAACATTAAATAACCAACAAATATTCAACCATTAAATCGTAATCCACCACATTTTGCTAATCTATAATACTTTTGTATTTTTATCAAACAACACTTCAAATTTAAAAATTACACAGATGCTTTATAAATTTTCCTTAAGATTTTTTTATTCGATAACTAAATTTATACAACATTAAAAATACGTTAAGAATACTTAAGTCTAATGCATAAGTATAATAATAACTAAACTAATTAAAATAAATTATGTTCAAATTAAATTTACATTTACTTATATTACGTTTTTCGTGTGATAGCAAAAAATTCAAGTTAAAACCTAGCCATGTTAACTATAATTTTATTTTAGAGGTGTTCTTTCGTTTAACATTAAAAAATAATCAAACATATAGCAACTTCGCGTTACGCGGAGTGTTCATTGGGACACTCCGCGATGGAGTATTCCACAAAGACACTCCGCACAGATTGCTTCCCAGGGACACTCCGCGCTGGGCGCAGTGCTTTAACAGTGGAGCATTCCGCGCTGCCCAAAGTACCTCAAACAACAATCATTAAAAAAAAAATTTGATTAAATTTTTACAACATTTAAATACATTAAGAACACTTAATTCTTAGTACAATATTAATTATATAAATTCAAAAAAATTATATTAAAATTAAATTTGCATTTACATCCAAACAATCCGCGCTACCCGAAATGCTTCAGACAATAATATATTAAAAAAAAATTGATTAAATTTTTACAACATTAAATATATTAAGAACACTTAATTCTAAATACAATATTAATTATATCAATTTAAATAAAACTCTATTAAAATTAAATTTGCATTTACACGTTACAACTACCAACATTTACTCACCAACATCTATAAAGTATAAAAACTATCTATCCACATTTAACCATTTAACTATTCTCTTTTTAGCAAACACATTAAATACATTAAGACCACATAATTGCAACGTATAAATACAATATAATTTAAATTAATTAAAATGAACTGTATTAAAATTAAATTTACATTTACATTACATTTGTCTCAAATGCCTATTTACCAACATTTATCTACAAATGTCTATCTATCAATATTCAAAAGTATATCAAACTATGTATCTACGTTCAAAAAATTATATAAAATTTATCCATCACATTAAACCAATAATTTTTTTTTTCAATTAATCATATACAACGATACACATTTCAATTACTAACATTTACTCATCAATATTTATTCACTAATGTCCACCTACGAACATTAAAAATGCTATCTACACATTTACTCATTCAATTATTTAAGTATTCTTTTTTTGGCAACTACCACATACAACCACTTAAATACTGCACTACCAACATTTACTTACCAAATATTTATATACTCACGTCTATCCCTGGCATTTAAAATTGTATATAAAACTATCTACCCACGTTCAACCATTTAAGTATTCTGTTTTTCACAAGCATTTTATTTCTAGATTTGTTAAGCGTCCAAAACTGAAGTTCGCCACCGTAGCAGCCGCGTAATCAACAACTGAAAAAGGTAATCTTTACAAAAATGTCTGATGAAAATAAATTTAGAATTTATTTATCATATAAAAAATATGTGCTTTAGCCAATATATTACATTGAAGAAATTATGCAACACGAAAAATGATTTTTATAGAATACTGCTCAAATCTTTTCAAATTGAAACCTCACTAACAAAAAAATGCCTCGCAAAAGCTAAGAAACAAATGATAAGCCAACTTCACAAACTTTAAAAGCAGTGAATTAGTTTTCTACTTTTGAATTAGTTGATTGCTTTTGGAGTGCAATACTGAACAATAAATTTCCTAGCAAGAATATGTCAACTAATAATAGTTTGTTACTTTAGAAACTTAAGAAGTTTCAATGTATAATCTTTCATCTTGTGGGAACCATCTTTATATTTTTGTAAAATTATATTTTGCAGCTTTGACTATAAAAATACTTCTTCACTCAATGACTGAATTTATAAAACATTAAATAAAAAACAAAATAAATTTCAACCATTAAATACGTACTCTACTACTTTTGCTAATGTATAACAATTTATTCAATTTTACAGATTCTTTCTATCTTTATAAATTTTATTTACCAATTAGTAATTTTTTATGCGATGACTAAATATACACAATTTTAAAAACATTAAAAACACTTCGTTCTAATGCATAAATACTTAATTAAATGAATGGAAATAAACTATATTCAAATTCAATTTGCATTTACACATTCGAACTACTAACATTTACTCCTCCCACATTTGAACTACCAACATTTACTCACCCCACATTTCAAATACTAACATTTACTCACCAACATCTATCCTTTGTCCATTTATATAAACATTCGAACTACTACTCACCTTTAACCATTTTCGTTTTAGCAAGCATTTTGCAAACTTCCTGCCTAATCAAGCTTCCCACGTGACCATCTACAGCAAAAAGGTAACCTTCATGTCATAAAAATAAATTTAAAATCTATTTATGAATACTATTATGTTCTTCAAATTTTTTGCAATTCAAGCTTAAATCTGTAGTGTCGAGTTCTTCATGTCATAAAAATAAATTTAAAATCTATTTATGAATACTATTATGTTCTTCAAATTTTTTGCAATTCAAGCTTAAATCTGTAGTGTCGAGTTCTTCATGTCATAAAAATAAATTTAAAATCTATTTATGAATACTATTATGTGCTTCAAATTTTTTGCAATTCAAGCTTAAATCTGTAGTGTCGAGTTCTTCTATGATAGTTTAAGGTAGCACACTAAAATCATGTTTTACAGTAAGACGTGCCCATATTAATTTTTTTTTTTACGTCGAAGTGTAGCACTCTGCGCTGCGCAGAGTTTGTGCGGAGCCAACACTTCGCACAGCACTGAGTGTTGGGGCGAAACCCTCCGCGCTACGCGGAGTGCTAAAAGTTTAGTTTTTGTTTTTTTTGACGTATTTTTGATAATTTGGGCATAAATTTTTGCTACGGTTATCAGAATCCGTTATTTTCCCTTCTAAATCGCAAATTATAGTTATTCTCTTACTTTCTATCGTTCTAAATATTTATCCTACGTCAACGTCATACACTTTTTATAAAAAAAATGATTTAAACTGTATTGAGAAAATTATCTCGCGAAAATAATAAACATTAAGAAAATAATTAATTTTTTAAGAAAAAAGACGAGTTATACGATTTTTGAACATACACGTTTGATATACGTTTAACTATTTTCGATAGTCATTTAAATCATTCGATGTGTCTATGATATAATTTTTGAAATGAGTATTGAGGGAATATAAAACATTTATGGATTCGATTATCGAACAAGCGTCGATAAATTTTTAAAGTTAGCTTGTTATTGAAATTTTTAATTTTTTAAATGACGTCTCCTTTTACACTAAAAATAATTTAAAAGTTTATCAGGAAATTTTCTAAACCACGTAAAAAAAATTATTAGATTCTTTACAAAATTAATTTTGTAGTAGTAGTAATATATTAATTAAGTTGAAAAATTAATTTAGTCCCTTTTGGATATAAAATTTAGATTTTTCCAATTTATCACTTCAAAAAAATAAAAATTCAACAAAATTAACATGATGTATTTTCTGAGATCAACTAACACACCTAATGTGGAAAATTTCATTTGTCTATTAACACTAGAAAAACTTCTTGTTTAACTAATTAATTTTTTACTTAACATAATCCTCAATTACATTATACCATTGTTTTTGTCTGCATAATTCACGCAATTATTAGAAAGCTTTTGACAAGCATACGTATCTTCATTTTAATTTATTAAGATGATACATATTAATTAATGACCATTTTGTCTAAAAATGAAAATAATGAACTCAATCAAAATTCTCGTTTTTCTTTATTTTATACATGTTTATGGTTGAAACTATCATTAC